GTGAACCAAGAGAACGGAGCTTAACTGCAAAATACTTATTTATTTACAAGAAATTAAAAACATGTTTTTGAGTATCGTGTTGCTCAAAAAATACGATGTATATTAAGAAAAAAAAGGCAAAATATAAACCCCGCCCACCCACCCCATCTCAATTGTGATTTTTTTTTATTCTTAGAAACTCAAAACACACTTATAGTGAACCAAGAGCTATAAGGTTATATGGCCATCATAAAATCATCCCATTGTGTCGAAGTTAAGTTGTTTACAATAGAAGAGGTTTTAGGGTCGTAAATAACGTGTCCACTGCAGCTCGACCGGCTCTTGTGGTTTCGTTCAGGGGCGGCTTTCACTAAATATGAAAATCCACCACTCCACTATTTCTTTACTACCTGCAGCCGCTGAGGGTTCCGAAATAACCACTCGCTTTGAAAGCCGGCCCTGTTAAATATGAGCAAGAAATGTTTAGAAGATGATTTATTGCCAACCGGTAAGCTTAGTGCGAACCACACAAAGGGGGTATTTATTTGCGGTCAATTACTTTTATGATGGCCATATAACCTTATAGCTCTTGGTTCACTATAAAATGGTAAAGTTTTGTAAGAAAATATGGATTTTGCACTTAGGCCCCACCCCTAGGCCTACCAACCAATGAAAACTTCATTACTATTTAGATCATGGGTAGGGCTTAATCTTTGGACATAATTTTTTCTTAATATACATAGTATCCCTTGAATAACACGACACTCAAAAAAATGTCTTCATGGTAATTTCTTGTAGACAAATAATAAGAATTTTGCATTTAGGGCAGAACCCCACCTTCCCAAAATATATGAGAAATAACCCAAAACGCCATCCGAAATTTCAACTTCATATGAGCATTTGAAGCCACCGACAATGCGTCTATTTCTTCGTGACTTCAAAAACTCTGGAGCTCCCTTTTCAATTTTTGAAAATTGCAACTAGTTTATTAAAAAATAATAAAACATTAAAATTTGATATCAGATTTTGTAAGAAGGTTTTTACGTATTTTGATCTGAAAATTAGAGAACTTTACTACGAATGGAGCTATAATTTTCAAAAATATGTAATATACGTAGTCGTCTTTTCAGAACAAGAAACTTGAAACATGTTTAAAATGGTAAATTCTTGTAGACAAATATGGATCTTGCAATTAAGCCCCGCCCCTCGATCTGACAACGAATGAAAAATTCATCACAATTGAGAATTGAGATAGCGGTGGGTCTGGATGGGGCCAAATCTTCGGTTATATATTTTTTTCTGAATATACATAGTATTCTTTGAACAACACGATACTCAAAAACAACTTTTTAATTTTTCGTACAGAAATAACGATTTTACAGTTAAGCTCCGTCCCCTTGGCTCACGACGAATAAAAAAAATCATCACAATTAAGATAGGGCGGGTGGGCGGGGCTACATTTTGCATTTTTTTTTAGTATGTGTAGAGTTATTTCGACAACAAGAAACTTAAAATATCACTACAATGGTAAATTTTTGCAGTAATCAATTCAAATCCTCCACTTTTCAACAACGTCAGCAACAGCAACAGAAACTTCAACATCAACAGTAAGTTTGTAAATCTCAGTGCTAATGTAATCAAAAAAAGATGTTCATGTTCCAAATTCTCGTCTCGGTGTCTCAAAAGTTTTCCAAATCAAAGAACTTTACACTTATTAAAAATGGTGAAAAATTGTATGCATTAGAAGTATCATTCCATACCTTTAGTAATGTTATAATCTACAATTTCTGTTGGAAAACAGTGGCTATTCGATATCCATGTTCCTGTAACAGCAGTAATGTCAGTGTCAGAAGATAGAGCTGATCCGTTAAAAGAGCTTCATCCCACATTCATGTTTTAGCATAATCCGCTTGGTGTTCAGACACTTCTGAGAATCAGTAGGGAATACAATATCTTGTTAATAACTGTTGATGCTGACTAATATAATTAAAATCTACAAGATATGTTAATTACTATATTGATAAAACGAACACATCATGTTTGATTTTATTAATAGTTTGCTCGTAAACTTGACAATTACAATGATTCCCATTAGCATGGTGAACATCAATATCTGCAAATTTAGTGCAATTTGAGTTTGATTGACTCAACTGATACAAACACGTGTGTCTGATTTATTAGCGTTTATTTCATGATTCTCTAAACATCTAATATCCTTTTTACAATTTCTAAACGACAATTTCCAATAGTTAACGTTAATAAGTAGGTATATCAATTTCAACAAGTATTTGGTGTATTACTTGACTCTTTTTCACTTTATAAAGTTTCAGCAACTTATTTTCATAATCGTTACCAAAGATAAATTCATTTTGTTAGTTAAATAAGACAACACGTTGCCTCATTAATATCAATAGAGATACTAGAATTCGAAGACTTGGTAAAGTTTTATTTCTTGAAAGTCGCAAGACGATGAAAATTTAAAGTTTGCAAGGTGCAGTTGGGCTAAAGTTAATGTCGAACTTAGTTTTACCAAGGTATTGATTTTTATCTTGGGTTTTTATGGTAATTTTGCAGAAATTGATATAATCGTATTAGTTTCTACAATAATTGTAATTGCTACGTCATTAAAAAACAGTGTTGACATCAATTTGTAACCCAGGCTACATGAAACGCTGCTTGAAATAATAATTGGAATTAGAATTTTAAATTTTATTATTTTCAATTCTCTACTATTTTTATATAACATATGTATATTCTGCCATTAATATACAGCAAAGATCAAATAGATTTCTCCAATCCCTTGTGTAAATATTTGAAAATTTCCCCTAAAGCTGTGGTACTGTATAAACGTGGTATGAGATCATGTCATATTTAATATTGCTGTCTAATGCAGCTCTTAGAACCTGAATTATATAACATCAGACAATAGACAGAACACGAATACACATTTATTTCAGTTTTAATTAATAACTCTTTTAATTACGGTTGCAACATAAGTAATTACGCTAATTCTTAATTTTTATTAATCATTTAGCAATTAGGCTGTATTAACAAAATTTGTTGCTAAAATTATGAAGCTTCACTTAAATTCACATTGGATGGTTTAAAGACATTGAGTATAGACATGAATTAAATTAATAGTCAACTGCAGATATTTTTCTTATCTCAGTTTTGTCATCAACCATATAGTAATAAAACATTTCCAAATATGTTATCATATCATCGACGTTATAGACTTGTAAGCTAATATTTACTAATGTTTAAAAATACTGCACTTTTCAACGCTATTGATAATCTAACCTTGAGTTAGAAATCATAAAAAACAAATTTTATACAGATTGTAAACTACTACCTACTTTCTTTTACACTCCTAAAATAATTTTCGTGAACTATAAAAACTCAAAGTTTAATTATCTCTGAATCCAAAATATGCAAGAGAAAAAACAATTCTAAAAAATTCTAAATATTCTATTCATAAAATTGTGCTTGCCCACACTATAGATAAAAAAAGGAACGCTAAGATCTTGATATTAGTAAGTGGTAAAAAGACATAAAGTTGTGTTGGTTGTGTTAAATTAACAATTCAATAGATTTTCGCAAAAAAGGTATTGTTAATTTGTTCGTGACGTCATTACCTTTTAAGCTGTGACGCCATGTTTTTTTAAAAGGAACAATGACTTCCAGTCAGCCCACATTAAACACTACTGCATTTAATGGTTCAACAAATACTTGCACTTTCACGTAACTCAGTATTCTGAAAAAAATCGCAAAAATGGTTTTCGTAATCATTTAATGAGTAGTGAAACAGGTAAATTTGTCCTTCAGCGCAAAAGTGCATAAATTCACATCGGATAGAACACATTTAACAAAATTAATTTATTTCTACAACGACATGTGTTTGGAAAAATTGCTACTTATCACACCAGCCACAAAGGGGAGGATTTATTTAGATTGCACTGTATATGAAATTTTATCTTAGTTATTTCCTTTTGATTAAACACAAGTAATAAACAATTTCAATAAGGAAGTTAAATTTCGCAAATTTACGTGCTTCGAAACACTCATAACACCTAAATGAATGGCTTTAATGAACTAACTTTGAAAGTGCTACTTTTAAAGGCCAGAAGTCAGAAGTCGTTATCTCGTACTTTATTTGTTTGTAAAATCTCGTAACTTGGTCGATTTATATGAAACACTAATTATCGATTCAGAATAACAAGAATATTAATAGTTACTTAAAGATCAGAAATAGTAATATGTTAAAACCTCGTCGAACTTGTAAAACAAACGTGGGGTACATTAATCCATTAGTAGTCACGCCACAGAGTGGTCGACCCCTAACAGCTGTCGCTGTCCAAGAACTGGTATATAGTGAATAAGAACATGAGGGTGCCAGCGCCAGGTATCGCAGCAGGTGCTAATCGTAAACCGAAAACTAGATCTCGACCGTTGAATAGATGAGGATCTGCATCTCAAACAAGTGTGTCTCTAGACACCGGAAGATCACCGAATTAAATTAATATCAAAGATAAAACTGATGATAATAATGAAAACTGACACAGAAAGAATCAACGACACGATAAACTACTCATCAATCTCTTAAACTAAGATAAAATCCTACATCTTTTGTTCCCGAATTAATCAAAGTATAAAAGTGAATTGAACGTTAGAAGAAAAAGGTGCTCACATTTCCGGCCATTATCCTTGATGGGGTTAAGTCGCCTTAACTTGATGCACCTAATTAAGTCAACAAACTCATTGCGATATGAAGTTTAAACCTACATAAACGCCACAGAACAGGTTCCACAAAGAAAATCTGACGCACCTCACAAAAAAATACAAACCGACCCAAAAGCGGCAACGGATTAAATTTTTTCCTCTGGAACTATATACCATTTTAATTATCCATAAAAGTGACATTAATTTGTCGAAAACGGCGCGTAGGTTTGATTGGTTAATAAAGAGGTGTCGATTTTGAGTAATGGTCTATACTAGAGAATTTTTGTGCAAAGCTAACTTACTTAAGTCATGTCGTTCTTTTTTCGGTTTTCATAATCCCATTGGTAAAAGGGCACTACACTCGTTCACCTTAAGTATAAACAAAGCGAGATGCACGACAAGTACAGGTATAGCGAGACACAAATATATCCAACTACCGGCACCGTTCAAGGTAAACTAAAGCGACTATAGGAGTCAACGGTAGAAACGAGTTATGTGCCGACTAAGCGTAAAAATGCGAGATTTCCATTGGCCGGAACACGAGCCGCTCGAGCCGAATTGGTGCTTTTGTTTCTTAAGGACGTTCGCTTTTTTTCAAATTTTACGCTGCGTAAACTGGAGAAACAGTAAAGGTGGAAAAAAGCCCGGATATGTAACGACCACGTTGTTGCGATTTTTTTCCAAAGTGGAGCAGCGGTTTTATCTGAAGTGAATATTATCTGGTTGCAGACAGTGTGTAACTGTTGCAAGATTGTGACCGAAATGTGGTTACACACTTACTGTGAATTATTAACTGTTATTGATAATTTTCGCCTTGAAACAATGAACTTTACCTAAATATAATAGTCGATATTGACCTAGGACTTATCGGCTTAATGTAAATGAAACGAACATTAACATCAAAGATTTCATATCGTAATAATCATTTACATATCGACTCAACAATCATGGATGACGCTTTTTTTTGTAAATATATATTTTATTTTCGTTTAAGTTACGCCATCAAACTTTCTAATGGTGTGGGTCTATTATGATTGATGCTACAATCATGTTGTTGAAGTTACTGTTGCTAACAGTATTTTATAGGACGTATGGTGCCGAGATATACTTTCATCTAGATAAAAATTCCGCTCCTATAATCTTAAAATAATGTTTTGTGTCATGCTTTGCTAGATTTTCTGTAATGCATAAATTTACAAGTACATACATCAAAAACTGAATTTTCATGTCAGGTTAAAGTAACGCAGGACACGCGGAAATAACTTCGGTAAATATACACGGTGTCACATTACTTACGGATGCGCCAAAATACTGTTTATTTTTAAAATAAATGTTGAGGATTAATAGGAAAGTCAATAACCTATATACTGGTCATATTTTTTAATTTTTATATAATAAACGAAACAATTCATGAGTGTTTCCTATAAGGAGGGGTGCAATATACCTCAATAGAAGTTTTTAAATATTTCAAGTTAAACACTTGGAAACTTCAGATTTTTTACTGTATTATAACAACACTTTCTCAGAGATGTTTAACAGTTGGGCGGTTCGTTAAAAAAGTGCAATAACCATTTTATTGTTGGAGATAAGCCTACTTAAAGAAACGAGGATAATAAAATACTTCTTCGTCTCCTTCGTACAGTTTTCTGGAATCTGGTGCACAATGTCAGAATTTGTTTTACGATCCATATAATAATTTTGAGATTTTATCATTCGTAAATATAAGATATATCCACGAATTAGTTATTTCTTAACTTCTTTGTCCCTCAGCAGAAGAGTTTGTAGACGTTATTGACTGTTTCCCAAGAACGCTAAGATCTGATAAAAACGTCGGAATATGATAATGTTTTTCTAAGGTAGGAACAACATAAGAAATACAAATTCAAAGATAAGTTTTTTAATCGATTTTTTTCGTGAAATAAGCTAAGTTTGCCCAGAGATAAAACTACTCTGGAAATTTCATTAAACAAATAAAAAAACATTTTAAAAATTTTAATTCATATGGTTAATATGTCATCTGTCATAATAATTATGACATCTGAACTGTCGTTGCCACTTCGAAAGAGGTGCAACAAATCAATGCCCACTTTGATCATTTGTGAAAGCCTTGTACACGAAAGTACGTATAAGAAATGCCAATGGTCTTATCTTCATCAGGAATTCATGGAATTACTGAAAACATCTTTTGACATAGTCTGAAGAATTCATTTGGAACTACAAAGTTATTTTCGGTTATATGGGATAATAAGCATTCAAACTGAACTGAACAGTTTTGGTTACAAAATTACTTATTTGTATACGTGTTTCGGTACATAGTAACTTCATCAGGCGGATGATCTTATCGTTAAGGGAAAATATTGTCTGTTTTTATAGCTATTTGCGTTTGTGGGTTTGTGTTAACAAAAATGAATCATTAACTCATTTTGTTAAATTAAACATGAAAATTTATAAAATTTCAATTTAAATTTGTAATTTCCACCCTAAGCTTTAACTCACACGAACTCAGTTTTATTAAAAAAAATAATAATAACAATAATTAATTTCAAAAGACAGAGATTCCTTTTCTCATGAGAACAAGATATTAAGTTTTAGAAATAAATCTATTGTCTTATCTAAGAAAGTCTACAGGAGTTAAAAAGGTGATATCAAAATAAAATATGTAGTACAAATCTACATGCAAAAACTAAAGACACAAATTTCAGTAAACTCGGTATCAAAAGAAAAAAAAATCGTACAGGCTTGACACATACAGGGTGTTTAAGAAATGGTGCACCAACGCGACCTTATTAAGTTCACAAGTTTAAGTTCGAGAAAAATCATGGAAAAATTCCCTACGCCAATTTGACGTTCACTTACAAAACAAAATATTGATTTAGGTTGCTCAAAAAACGTGAAAATTTAGCCAGTTGCCAGATTCATCCTAAACAAGTTTTACTTAAGTTTTTTGTTATATTATAAAGTGAAGAAAACAATCGATAAAGACAAGATACCTCCAAAATTATTATGAATAATGAAAGTCCGATCGATTTCAGGTATCCAACACTAAATACTGAATTAAAATGTGACGAAATTTCGAAAAGAAAAATTAAATTTTAAAGGGCTGTATTTTCTACATTTTGACAAAAGAATTTGTTAATTTACTTTTTCTCTGCGCTATTTTGTGAACATCTGTATATGAAATAAAAGTATTTTATTTGAAAAGAAAAGTAAGAAAGAGAAAAGTATTTGATAATTGGGTTAGTTATTTAATTTTTACACGTCTGTTGTTCCAACATTACTAAAATGTTACTAAAATTTCCTTTTCAAAATTATAACACTTCCATAGTTGCAAGATATATTTGTTGACTTGCATACTTGTGGTTGGGGGTATATTAGCAGTTGACGACAATTTGAGGTAAATTACAGGGTCGAGGTGGACATGCAAATTGTCATGAGACATTGTGGGCTGCCTATTTTACCTTCTACTTAGTTCACAATATGAGTTCCCAAATTAATGATTATCCAACAAAGAAGCAAGCTATTATTGTTACGGCTGTATATGGTTTGCAATTAAAAGATCATGTAAAGTTTGGCTACTGATATTTGAAGGTGACTTCACTGCGGGTAATGCGCTTAGAAGGTTTTATTGGTTAGCCCCGCTATAAATGTGTCCATCATAACTGTGTTTACAAAATTTTCGAGTCCCCGCAGGTAAAGAAGTACAGTGGGCAGAATTGCAGTGGGCGCTTATCCCGCTGGTAAAAGCCCTTAAGACGATTAGAGATTAGTGAAGTCACCTCCAAATAGCAGTAGCCAAGCTATATCTGCAATTGCAGAAATTGTAGAACCTAAGAACATATTATTTGCATAACGCTTGGCCAATAACCAAATCTGCATTTACCTTAGTACTATTGCATTAGTAGATGAGGTTGTCACCAACTATTCTCAATTATCCATTAATAATCTGATTGTCGGGGTGCGTCGCTTGATTAATCCAGCACGCAGAATTATCCTATCAAATGTCTGCCCTTCGATTCCCCACAATGTAAAAAATTTTAGGTCCCCTGGTGTTTTATTTTCGGATAAATTTAAGGGAATCTGGTGTTTTATTGCTGGATGAACTTGAAAAAATCTTTTAAGCTTTTGGTGTTTTACTTTTTACGAATATGAAAATGTCTTGAGTGTCGCAATATTTGGATACTCATGGTGTAATTTTGGGAGCCCATGGAGATTTTTTTTTGTAAATTATTTAAAAAAATTTTGGGGGACTTTGGTGTTCTATTTTTGGAAAATTTTGACTTGACCTGTTTTTGAGTTAATTTTGGGACCCCGCTTTTCTTTTTTTGAAAAATTTAAAACTGTCTTGAGGTTCTAGGTATTTCTGTTTGGAAAGAATTTGAAAGTACTTTGGAGCTTTCAGTTTCAGTTAATTTAATGAAATAGTTTAATTAATAATTTAGAGGAGACGTCATTTGCTAAAATCAGTTTTATCTTATCAGGTACATACTAGTATTTCGTTAGATATGACTGACATCATTTGCCAAAGTCAGTCTGGTCTTAGCGAATACAAGCCCCGCCCACCCACCCTCTATTTTCTTACAAAGTACATCATTTACCAAAATTAGTCTTGATGTACTCTGTAAAAAAATAGAGGGCGAGTGGGCGGGGCTAGTACTTGCTAAAATAAGACTGATTTTGGCAGATGATATACCTTTTAAGAAAATAGAGGGTGGGTGGGCGGGGCTAGTAGTTGCTAAGATAAGACTGATGTTAGTAAATGATATACCTTCTGAGAATATGGAGGGCGGGGCTAGTATTTCGTTAGATATGACTGACATCAATTGCCAAAGTTAGTCTAATCTTAGCAAATACAAGCCCCGCCCATCCGCCCTCTATTTTCTTACAAAGCACATTATTTACCAAAATCAGTCTTGATGTACTCTGTAAGAAAATAGAGGGCGAGTGGGCGAGGCTAGTACTTGCTAAGATAAGACTGATTTTGGTAGATGATGTACCTTCTAAGAAAATAGAGGGCGGGTGGGCGGGGCTAGTACTTCGTAAGATATGACTGACATCATTTGCCAAAGTCAGTCTTGTCTTAGCAAATACAAGCCCCGCCCACCCACCCTCTATTTTCTTACAAAGTACATCATTTACCAAAATCAGTCTTGATGTACTCTCTAAGAAAATGGAGGGCGAGTGGGCGGGGCTAGTACTTGCTAAGATAAGACTGATTTTGGCAGATGATGTAGCTTCTAAGAAAATAGAGGGCGGGTGGGCGGGGCTAGTACTTCGTAAGATATGACTGACATCATTTGCCAAAGTCAGTCTTGTCTTAGCAAATACAAGCCCCGCCCACCCACCCTCTATTTTCTTAACAAAGTACATCATTTGCCCTATTTGTCTTTTTTTTAAAGAAAGTGAAACCTTCTCGAGAGCTCTAAGTGTCTTTTTGTGAAAAAAGTGAAACCTTCTCG